GCAGACCTGCTGCTGGTGGGACCCATCCTGACCCTCCCATACCCCAGGGTATCTGGGGCAGCTCGCTGTCTCTTCCTTTGGTGAACCTTCACTGCAGACTCCCGAGAGCTGTGGTCCTCCTGACTGGGGGGTGGCGCTGGTGCCATGGAGGGGAAACAGAGGCGGGGGCTGGTGTACCCTGCTCAGAGCTGAGACCTGCACAGGGATGATCGTGAGCCACAGGTTGTAGGAGCAGCTGGGCTCGACATCGCTGCCTGAATGGACCCAGAGCCATGGCCTGGCAGGGGGAGCTTGGGGATGTGCCTATGGCCTCCCAGGAAAAGGTGATGATCTGGGGAGGGATGGAAGCTATTCCACTGAAAAGAATATATTCTGGGAACTGCTGACCCCTTCCCCGTGCTCCCATGGGACTGCCCAGGCTATCTGAAAATGCAGAGGGTCCCCTCACCTAGCTGCCTTCTGCCACGCTGACCTTTCTCCTAAGGCAGGGGGCTGAGGCAGATCATCCCTGGGGTACCGGCTCCTCCTGACCTTCCAACAGGCCTGCTGGTGCCCCACAAGGCCAAACAGGGACTGTGGGAGCTGCATGACTGTGGCTGCTGGTGGTCTGCTCCCAGGCCTAGAATGGTGCCATGCCTGGATGCTGAGCTGGGGACTCTGGGGGGGTCTCACCGCCATGGGATGCACATCTTACACCCATCATGATGGTACATTTATTGATGAGTTACTGAGAGTGATGAGGGAGTTTTGGTACAGCTTGTTGCTTATTGTAGGGTTTTTCTTGCAGGAGGGTGCTGTGGAAGGGGTGGGCTGGTCTCCCCAGTCAGCTTTCAGTGGGAGAGCGCTGGTGGGTGTGGCTCTGTGGGGATGGCAGGGACATGGTTATGCACATCGGGCTGACCCCAGCTCTGGGGAGACCACGGAACAGCCTAGGCTTGAGTCCTCTCTGGGAAACGGGGTGTCAGCCTAGCAGCGTGTAAACCTCTGATCTGGTAGCACTGGGTGGATGCAGCCCCCAAGGACACATCAGCTGCTGGTGGCTCAATACAAAGTGGCCTATAACTGTGGTGATCACTGCTGGGTCAGGGGTCCAGCGTCCAGCAAGCTCCGGGATTCATTTCAAAAGCGTGTGGAAATGGGGATGGGAAATCCCTTCCCCTTTTGGTGCTGCCCAAGGATGGAGGCTTGGTTTGTGTGTGTGTGTGTTCTGAAGTAGCTGGGCTGTGGAGTGATTCATGGGAAGCGACAAGCCACTTAACCTGGCAGACCTCTCGTCACAGATAAAACCCTGCCAGCCCTTTCTGTTGGCTTGTTTTGTGCCAGACACTTGGTGGCTCTTGCAGAGGGGTATAGGGCAGGGCAGCATCTGGAAAAGGAGCTGTCGCTGGCAGGGACAGGGCTTTGTGCTGTGGATGTCCTGTGTGCCCAGTGGGGCAGCACATGGCTGTGCTCCGCTCCCTGTCTTTGGGCAGAACAGTTTCCCAGCAAAGGGGAGCCCATGAAGCCCCCAGACTTGCTCATAGTTTGGATGCTGGGGACAGAAAGGGGACAGCGCGTCTGCCCCAGAGCCCTCAGGCATACTAAAGCCAGGACAGCAAAACCTCAGTCTTGGTCACCCTTTTCCTGTTGTTAAGCTGCATGTGCTGAATGTGCTCCCTCCCCTGTCCTGGGGCCCCTGAAATCGGTCCCTCTTTGGTTTCTTCCTTAAGAAAACTCCCATGTTCTTTTTTTTTTTTCTTTTTCCTTCTTTATAACAAACTAAAGTGTAACTTGCACTCGACCTGACCTACTGCACGTGCCTATACCTGCTGCCCCTGTGAGTCCAACCACAGTTTACTCTCTGTTGCATCTCTCTCTCGCTGTGTGGTTTCCCTCCCACCCTGCTCCCTGCCCTGGTCCATCACCCTGGTGTTGGGTGTTCCTCTGCTTGCCCTGTCCCTTCCCCCTGGGCAAAGGGGCCGCTCCTGATTCCCAGGTCTGTTCCCACAGCTCCGCTCTGCTGGAGGGACCTGGCCCCAAAGCATCCTTGGAAGGCTGAAAGGTGCAATTTCCCTTTCCCTCTGCAAGTTAAAGCCCTGGAAAAATAGCTAGGCCAAAAATCATGTTTTAGGCACAACTTCTAGCCACTTCTAGGAAGAAAAAGCCTCTTTCCTCACCTGCCTGCAAACCCCAGAGTAGGCAGGAGGCAGGCTGTGCTGTCCTGTCAGTGCCAAAATCCTGGCCCTTGCCCTTGTCCCTGTCACCCTGTGACAAATGCCAGGGGGTGCATTCATGCATCTCTGTGTGTTTGCACGTCACTGGCACTCTGCTGTGGATGCCACTTCCCTGGGGACAAGTTTGCCCTCTCTGAGTGGCTCTGTGTGCTGTCCTGCTGCAACAGTGACCTCCTCGAGCTGTTTTTCATGCCCTAGAGTGACAGAGCTGCCTGCCCCAGCCTGCTGCCTTGGTGTGAGCTCAAAGGGTCCCAGGTCCTGCCTTTGGGCATTTGAGTATTGATCTGCCTAGCATGGATGTGGTCTCGATCCTGGAACTGGGTACCATGCAGCATCATTTCCCCAGCACCTGTGCCTCAGCTCAGCCCCACAAGGCTGAGAAAACTCCCAGAGAAGCCCTATCTGCTAGTGTCCTAGAGAAACAACTCCAAAACCAGGGTTCAGGAGGCATAGGTGTCATGACCTGCTGCTTGCAGGTGTCCAGGGTGCTTGGAGCAAACATGGTGTCAGTGGAGCCCCAGAGGGACTTTGCACCTTTCGTCCCATCGGTGCCCCATGTTGCTGCCTACTCCCTTTGGGGGCTGGAGCCCAGCACGGCCTTCATTCCCTCCTCTTCCTCTCCTCCCCGCCTGCGGCATTAGTCCTGTGCTGAGTTTGCTGGCTTGGGGCCCTGCGGGAGGGGAGGGAGCGGGTCTGTGACCATGGGGCAGCACCAGCTGGGAGAGATGGGGCTGAGCAAAGCCATTGGGGTCTGAATGGGGGAATAGGGGCTGGTGGGAAGGTCTGTGCAGTGAGGGTACCTGCTGTTAATGCAGGGCCCTGTGGAATCAATGACCATGGGCCAGGCTGGTGGGGGGGAACCCCTCAGTCTGCCCCATAGCTTGGCTGAGGCAAAGCCCTGAGCCCCATTCCCCTTCTGGCTGTCTCAAAGCAGGTCCCTGGGCTCGGATCCCAGTGCCGTGCTGGGGCAGGGTGCATGCCACACTCTGGGCTGCATGGCTGGGTTCGGCGCGTGCTTTGTGTTCAGCCATTGGGTGCCAGCAGGACCAAACCTGGCCCTGAGCTCTGGGGAGAATGCAATGCCCTGGCACAGCTGGAGGCTACTTTTTGGGCTCTGTCCTGCCCTACCCCCTTACACAGCCCCGTGGGGAGGGTCCCCCAGGGAGCAAGTATTTGGCCTCGAGACTAAAGGGCAGAGTCCAGCCCTGCCATCTCCTGTGTCTCTGGGCTGCTGGGCATCTCCAGTGCACCCCAGCATGCTCTGACGAGGGGATGCAGAGGTGCTGGGTGTATGTGGCCCAGCAGCATTGTCCCTTTGTCATCCCCATCCTTCCCAAGGAGGGAAACTCCAGTGCTGGGTTTGTCCTGGATGAAGCTGAAAGGCTGAGCAGAGCCTGGGCTGGGCTTTGCCTTCCTGCTCCTCTGGCCCCATGCTGCATGTGCTGCCGCCGGCCCTGCTCGCCCCACACTGGGTGCCCAACCCTGCTGCCCATCGGGTCCGGGGGCTGCTGCTCTGTTAACTCTTCTTCTGCTTGGTGACTCCTTCTTTCTTCCAGGCAACCCGCCGGGCCAAACTAAAAAAGCGCTGAAGCAGCGATTCCTCAAACTGCTGCCCTGCTGCCGGCCCAAATCCATCCCCTCGCTCAGCGAAAGCAAGTGCTTCTTCTTGCCTTTGTGTGTGTCTGTCCCGCCTCTGCCTGCCCTCCCCCCTGGCCCTGCCTGCGGGAAGGGGACACCTCCACCACTCCCCTGCCCTGGGTTTGGGACTGTTGAGATCAGTCCTGTCCCGGAGGTGTCTGATCTGACGGGCTCTGCACCCACCTCTGTCTTCACGTGCTTCCAGGCTGGTTTTCCCGTCTCCAGCCCCCCGGAGCAGCTCCCACAAGGATGCACAGCAGAGAAACCCGCTTTGGAGCTGGCTAGGGGTAGCAGAACACTCACGGTGCTGGTTTAAGGGCTGGGGGGGTTGTTGCTCAAAGCTTAATGTTGGTTTGGAGATGGAGGTGTGATGGTGGGAGGGAGGTGGGCAAAAGGGGCTGAGCATGGAGTGAGTTCAGAGCTGCCCAGAGCCCCCTCCCCCCCCTGCCCCAGGTGTGCTTAGCCCCTCATTGAGTCCAAGCAGCTGGCTGGGGTCTCCCCCTGCCCCGTGGTGTGAGCTGATCCTCCCTGGGAGAAGAGGTGAGTATGGAGGGGCAGGGGCTGATCTGCCTCGCAGAATGGCGGTACCACCGTGGGACCACGACTGCTCTCTGTTGCAGTGAGGTCTGGGGGTGCTGGCTGCTGCAGGCAGGAGTTGTGCAGCTTGTCAGATGGTGGGGAGAAGACATAGATGAAGATGGGCACAGCAGGTGGGATGGGGTCTAGAGAAGGCCAGGGGTGTTTTGGGGCTGGGGGTTATGGGGGACAGCCCTCCTTTTTTTAGCCCTGGTGCAGCACAGAGCTACAGGACATCCAGGGTCTTGGCTCCATGGGGCAGATGATTGTGCTGGGGGGAGAAGAAGGGCAGGCAAGGGCGGGGGGTCTCAGGACCAAGGGGGTTCACATCCCCTTCCTGCCCAGCCTGGGCTGTACATTTTTTCCCAGTGTCAGACTCTGGTCTGCACCCAGGGTGTCTCTGAGTGTCCCTTGCTGGCACAGACTCAACTCTGGCTGAGCAGGGTACGCCATAAATGTGTCACCCTGAGCAGATGTGAGAGGACACGGTGTGCTGTGAAAAGTGCCTCTCCTGCACCAGGGCAGGACGGGTGCCGGCCTCAGCTGCCTTCTCTTCCCCTGGGTTCCTTGCAGACAGCGTTGAGGATGAGTTTGAGCTCTCTACTGTCTGCCACCGCCCTGAGGGGCTGGAGCAGCTCCAGGAGCAGACGAAGTTCACCCGCAAGGAGCTGCAGGTCCTGTACCGAGGCTTCAAGAATGTAAGTACCCCTCAACCAGCTTTGCTAGCCCCATCTCCACTGCTCTGCCCCACGTTAGAGGGTGCTTTGCCCCTTGCAGTGCCCAGGGTTTGTAAAGGTTTTTTGGGACCTTGGGGTCGAAGTTTATATCAGGCTACAGCCTGATCCCACCTCCAGGGAGCTCAGTGAGGAGGCCTGTTCTTGTCCTCCATCCCTGGGGTGCAGAGACCCCCCTCCCTGAATGCCTGGGATGCAAAGCCCCTCCACCCAGAGGTGCAGCCCACAAAATCAGGGAGATGCTCCAAGTAGTCTTACCAGCTACCCCACCAGGCAGCGCAGGGCTGGGGGGCAAGGCAAGGGAGCTGCAGGGATTTGGAGGGGGTGCTCAGCCCTCCTCTGCCATGTGGAGGTGACACTGTGGCTTGCCCTGGCAGGAGTGCCCAAGCGGTATCGTCAATGAAGAAAACTTCAAGCAGATCTACTCACAGTTCTTCCCGCAGGGAGGTGAGTGCCCATCCCTGTGCCCTGCATGGGTGCCTCTGTAGGGTGGGAGGTCACACGGCGCCCCCTCACACTGTCTGCCTGTCCCCAGACTCCAGCACGTACGCCACCTTCCTCTTCAACGCCTTCGACACTGACCACGATGGCTCTGTCAGCTTCGAGGTGAGCTGTGGCCGATGAGGGGGTGGTGATGGGTCAGGGAGAGCATGTCCCTTCAGGTACTGTGGGCTGGGCTGAGCAGTGTTGCTGTTGCAGATGGATAGAGAGCTTTGCAGGGGCTGGTGGAGTTTATGAAATTCCCAGAGGCAGTGGAAAAAGGGTCAAAAGCAACAAAAAAGAGGGCTTTTTTTTTCTGGTTAGGTTCTAGCAGGTACAGCTATGGCTGGGTCTTCTTCAAGCTTTTGCTGAACAACGGGTCCTGATGCACATTGTTCTCTTGGGTCCTGTGGGACTAGCATGGGACATATTTTGGGGACAAGCAATTGGTTTTCCTCAGGCTCTTGTTGATACTCAATGTTTTCCTTGCCCAGCCCTGGGGCACATCTGCTTTAGGGCTGAGTTCCCCCTCTGCATGAGGGACAAGGGCTGTGTCTTCTGTGTCTGTCAGACCCTTTGTGGCCATAACTCCTGTCTGCCTGCCTTGCCCATCCTTGCAGGACTTTGTGTCTGGGCTGTCCATCATCCTGCGGGGCACTATTGATGATCGCCTGAACTGGGCCTTCAACCTCTACGACCTGAACAAAGACGGCTGCATCACCAAAGAGGTAGGATGGGGGTGTCCAAGCTGGTCCCC